CCCAGCTGATGTCGGTACCGGGCCGCGCCATAAAAAAGGTTGGGGATACCGGGCCGCGGCATAAAAAAGGTTGGGGATCACTGCTGTACATGGACTGATCGGATTTGATCAAAGAAAGCAAAGGGGGCTGTCTTTCCCCCAACCCCCACTCTAACCATGGCACTTTATGCAGTCCTGTCCAAAACACAAGGATGATTTGTTAACAGGTAACAACTCACTCTCCCAGCATTTCTGGAGTCATTCTTGAGGAGAGAAACATGAAAGCCCTTTGTAGGTGCTGACTTTTTGTCTGAATGCTCACTCAACAAGCGTCCATCGTGGCATATTTTGAGACAAATCCAAATCATTTCAAAAGCATTCCTAAAGAACATCACACCCAAAAGCTAGTGAGATTCAACCACTAATTTTTCAGATGTTTGGAGACTTGCATTGAAATAGACTGGGGCGTAACATGCGTTATTAATGAGAAACAAGCGAGGTGAAAGATGAATATCATTTGATAAGTGTTCAAAACCACGTTCTGGAAAAAGACGGGATGTGAAAGAAAGGCAAGTTCAATATTGCATCCCAAGATGACTCCAGGCTCCGTTCTGAAAACAGTCCACAATATCAGATTTTGGTTGCACGAAAACACTTTCAATTGGATCCATGAGTTATTAGTCTGTGCAACAACAGACATGCATATAGTAGCTGTGAAGAGGATGATCATCTACCACCCTTTAAAACAAGAATTATCTTCAAGAGCAAAACAAAGTTCTACTTATTCCAGCCAATATCCTGCTCAAATGTCAAGCAAATTTTCAATGGAAAATGGTTCTCTGCCCCCTGGCTAAAATTTTAATTCTGTTTAATTCTTTAAAAGCAACCAGGAGAGGTTTTAATCAGAGAAAATGGTCCTTGTAACATTAATCAGAACAACTTAAACTCTCTACAAGCTGGCTGCAATGACCAATGTCCGTATGATGTAAATTGTCATATCTTGCAGACATGTCATACTTCCAACAGTCACTTTAGACTTTAGCATTTCCTCTTGTGGTAACTAAAGTTGGAGTAAATTTTGCTGTTTCAAGGGATTAATTTCCACAAAAGGGCCCCAATGGTTTAGTAAACTTTAAAGTGCTTTTTTGAGTCAGTTTTTTCTCAAACATGGGTTTGTCTTGAGTTGGAGGCCCGGAACTTTCAAACAGTTTGGTATTATTGATATGGCTGGATTTTGCTATCCCTTTTGAACTATCACCCCCCAAAAAACCCACCCCTGGCTTTCATTACTGTTCAAAGACTAGATGGTAATTTTAAGTTATCTAGAAAAAAAAATGCAGATTGCCAGATGCAAAAGGAAAAATAAAATAATAAGAGTAGAGCAGTTCTAATTGAAATGGAATTTAAACTGGAAAGGTCCCCCGGAACTGAAAGGGTCAAAGCCTTGCCAGGAATTCCAAGATCGGTGAAAAGGGTGACCTCCCCCTTGCTGGCTCTCGGCATCCAGGGGGTCTTCTCCGGCATCAAACTTACTCCGCATTTCTAGAAAAGAGACAAAGATGGCGGTCAGCTGAACAGACGTAAAGACAAAGGAATTCCATAAGCTTTCATCCAAAGGTTTTGATTCTAACGCCAGCAGGGCTGTGATGGTGAATCTGTGGGACGTGTGCCACAAGTGGCCTGCAGAACCATTTGGGCTGGCACAAGAGCTGCAGGCAAACTTACCTCACTGCACATGCCCGCGCCTCACGGCTGATTTTTTTTCCGGTTGGTTTGAAGTCTTTTTTGGCCTTTGAGGTCTTTTTAGGCCTGTTTCGTCACTTCCTTTAATACCGGAAGTGACGGAACGGGCTTATAATTCGGCCCGAGAAGCCTTGCAGAGGCTTTTTCCAAGCCTCTGGGAGGCCGAAAAAGGCCTCAAACCAGCTGAAAAATCAGCTGTGAGGTGCAGTGCAGGTAAGGGGGTGGGAGTGGGGATTGCGCGGACCATGCGTGGGGGGTGTTGGGAGCGCATTGCATTCTGGGTGCTGGCACGTGAGTACGGGCATGTTGATGCACTCGCAATTTTTGGCACAGGAGTCCGAAAAGGTTAGCCACCACTGCACTAGGGCATCAACCACAAAAAACGAACAAATAAGTAAAAAGCAGTGGTGTAAGCATGGGCATAGCTGCGCTCCTTTTAAAAAAAAGAGAGAGAGATGGCAAAATATTTTGGAACTTGCTTGCTTCTCACAGACAATTTTCTCCAAAGGGCAATGTATTTATTCAGAATAAACCATTCATTCATTTGTTCGTTCATTCATTCATTCAGGCAGGCAAGAAGGCAGGATGCAAAACAGCACCCCCTTCTGGTCTACGGAAAAACATTTCTTCACGGAATCGGTCCCCTGGTGCCCAAAAGGTTGGGGGCCACTGTTCTACACACTTCCTCCTACTTAAATTTCCAAATCCAGATAAGCCAGTCACCAGCTGAAACCTGGGTCACATAATAAAAGAACAGAGTTGGAAGGCACCTTGGAGGTTTTCTAGTCCAACCCCTGCTCAAGCAGGAGCCCTACAGCAGGGATGGCTAACCTTTTCGTCGTCATGTGCCGAAAGTGTGCACGCGCCCCTGCACCCATAATACAATGTGCATGTGACCACCGTCCGCATGCACCAGGCACCTCTGCGCCACGCACCTCTGCGCATGTGACCCCCCCACGTGCCCCACCCCCTGCACATGCTTGGGCATCTCCCGCCCATGCCCTGCCCCCCACGCATGCACGGCAGATCCCCGACAATTAGCTGGCTGGCGGGAGGCACGTGCGCATGCGCAGTGGATCTATTCTGGGCAACAGCTCACGTGCCGGCAGAAATGGCTCTGCGTGCCACTTCCGGCACGTGTCCCATAGATTCGCCAAATGGTCCTATACCATTTCAGACAAATGGCTGTCCAATGTCTTCTTAAAAACTTTCTGAACCCACAACAGCCGTTTCATTGATTAATTGTTCTCACTGGCTGGATCTCTCCTTTGTAAGCTTTTATCCTTTTGTCCTGCCTTCTGGTGCAGGTCTTAGTAAAGGAAGAGGCAAAGAAGCAGGAAACCCAGCGTGTCCAAGACTTTGATAAGTTGAAGGTCCACACCTTTACTCCTGGAACTACTCAACCCCCAAATTCCCTCCTCACAAATCATTGTGATTGCTGATTTATTAATGGCTGCTTACTCTGTTACCAAGGTTAATGATATGGTTGGATTTACACAACACATGGAACACTCATGAACATGAAGCTTGGTTAACACTCATCAAGCTTCAATTATTGGGCCAATGCTGCCATTAGGTGTGTGGCCTAAAACTTAAATGTAATAGTTTTAAACAGAATGTCAGAGGGAGAATCACTGTGGAAGAGTTTTAAGTTAATAGACATATCTATTGCCTGTTTAAGAAAAATGTCAAGGATAGCTCTATAGCACAGAAGGCTGGATGTGCAGCTAGCACCAAAAATGCTATTTTACTTCACTATATAAGCCATTTATCAAGCTCTCTGGCCCATGTATCAGCTGAATCCCTTCAAAACTGAAATAACCTCAATAAACACAGCACTGGACACAGAAGGAAAATGAATGATTTGATTGATTCTCATAAGGATGAAGTGAAAAACAACCCAACAGGCTCATCTCTTCTTCTGAAAGTAAGGAAGCAGACAAGCTACACATCTATCTACCTGGATCTGTGAGGACTTCTTTGGCAGCTGCAATATCAATAAACTTCTTCTCTGCTTTCTTCTTCTCTTCTTCATTCTGAAAATTATCTGGGTGCCACTGCATTGCCAGCTTCCTGTAGGCTTTTATGATTTCCTGTTTTCTAGCATTCCTGTCAGAAGTATAAGAAATAACTTGGAAATTATCTCTTCACGCCATGCTAAGATTTTTAAAAAGAAGCCAAGACCCCTGTCAGTGGATAGAAATTCAGATACTTTGGCTGTCCTCTTTGCAGGTACCATCTTCTATTATATGGCTTAACTTCTGGGTAACAGGGAAATACGCAGAATGATAACACACAGAGGAAGCTCAATTCCCTTCATGCTCTAAATTTCTCTACATGCAGCATTCTATGTTGCATTTATACCGTGTTTCCTCGAAAATAAGGCCGTCTTATATATTTTTTGCCACCAAAAAAAGGCACCAGGTCTTATTTTGGGGGGAAGTCATCCACTGACTAACCTCACTTGCGCGCATCACTCCCGGCCTCCTTTGCACTGTCAGAGGCCTCCAGGAACTTCCTTTGCGGCCGGCAAGGCTTTCCTGAAGGCCTCTGCAGCCGATAATAGAGCTCCAGATCGATCCGGAGTTTTGTTATCAGCTACAGAGGCCTTCAGGAAAGCCTTGCCGGCCTTGTCAGCTGCAGAAGAAATGGGCCAACAAGCCAGGTGTCAGACTATGCGAGGCCTGGCTATAACTGTCCAAAGGTAAATAGTAGGGCAGCGCCACTCCCCGCATCCCCACCCTAGCTTAATTTTTACCCATGCACTCTGGAGTGGGCGGGATCTTAATTAGGGCTTATTTTGGGGGAAGGACTTATATTGGGCACACGTGTAAAAATCAATCTAGGACTTACTTTCAGGGTAGGTTGTGTTTTTGGGGAAACAGGGTAAGTTTCCTTCTCTTAGTACAGAACTTCTTTAAGATAGTTAAGAGACACTCTTTCTTATAGGCTTCATAAGAAGGTAACACAGCATCTAGCGACCACTCATTCAGCAATCATTTAAAACTTATGATGAAGGTGCTAAATGATTGGGAGTTACGACCAATCCTCGAAGTTCCAGTGTCTCCGCAGTCATGTGATCGTGACTTCCAACATTCCCTATTGGCTTCCCACGAAGCAAAGACAATGGGGAAGCTAGCAGGAAATTGGAACTTGTAGTCATGCGAGGTCCTCATTTATTGGCTGTGAGTGGGACCAACCTCAACTGTTGTCGCAAAACAGCATGGTCATGTGCTGTCACATTTTATAACCCCATCGCTTAGTGATGGCAGTTCCTGTCCCAATTGCCACTTTAAATAGAGGACTACTTCTATAGCCTCTTGAAGAAAAAGCAGCATTTAAGGAAACTATAGGTGATTGTCAATTGCTAAATGCTTACCTTTTAACTCCTAAGATTTTATAGTAGTCCCTTTTTTGAGACTGCTTGAGCATCCGCTGGGCTTTCTCAAGGCTTTCCAGAATCTGCTGGTCATTATCGCTGTATTGTTTAGCAGTTTCATAGTCCTGGATAGCTATCACAAAGACAACAAACAGAGTTCATTTAGAGATTTGTAGTACAGGAATTCATGTCCAGCCTGGCCAGATTTCAAACGGTATATTTATTTAAAATTGGATAAAGGAAAACAAAGAATCTTTATGCTGTTGAAGTGTACCTTCTTCATACATTTCTTCTAGCAAGTATGCTTCAGCTCGATCTTTGAGGGCATTCACATTTTCTGGCTCGAGCTGCAGAACTTCTGTGCAAGCATTAATGGCTTCTGTTGTCTGTTGATTCTGAGAAAAATGAGATGGACCAGTGAGGACAATAATAGCAATAGCACTTAGACTTATATACCGCTTCACAGTGCTTTACAGCCCTCTCTAAGCAGTTTACAGAGTCAGCATATTGCCCCCAGCCTCATTTTACCGACCTCGGAAGGATGGAAGGCTGAGTCAACCTTGAGCCTGGTGAGATTCAAAACTGCCCAAATGCAGGCAGCCGGCAGTCAGCAGAAGTAGCCTGCAGTACTGCATTCTAACCACGGCATCACCAGGGCTCCATAAGATGTTTTGCCCAATGAACTGAATGTTTACCATTGAAAGGCAATGACAGATTCTCTCTTTGGCTCGAGTAGTGTAGATAGGAACATTTGTCTCCATCTTCATAACAGCCTCATACTTCTCAGTGGCTTCCTGGTACCTATTTACATTAAGAAAGAAAACCAATGAACAGTGTATATTTATTAAATTTAGGAAAACAAACTACATTGTTCTGCATATTTTACGGAGGGCAAGGTAAATACACCAGAGCTCCATTTTAGACTGAACTAATGACACAGACCTCATATTTTACCAATTGGTTTTCAGTGAGTTGGGGAAATGGAAGGAAACAGTTCCATTAGTTTTCAGTATCGCTGATTACTGAAAGCTGCAGGAGTTGCAGAAACTCTCGCAGATCAGATGGAGACTATACCGTTGCCACAAACCACGACATTAAAAATTCCTGGAGCAAAAGCTGGTTCTCTGAAAAGTAATGAGGATCAGCCATCATGCTCATAATCATGTCCTTTTAATGGATATTGGATTTCAATTAAATAATTGGAAATAAACAGCAAAAAGCTAAATACAAATTTAATCTAGCCTAGAAAGTTATAAATAAATTAAGGATCCAAACAAATTTGGAGTATTGAGACATTTACGCTAAGATTTTGAAAATAATTAAATAAAATAAACAGCTTTTTGCAGGAACCAAATTGTTTTGTCTATCTTAAGTCACAACAGAGATTTAAAATGTTCTCATTAAAGAATTGGACACCAGAAGGAACTAAAGATTCCAGGCAGAAAAGAGGGGGGGAGGAAGTGTAAATTTGCTTTTGGTTTTGGGTTAGTGAAGGGATCTACAAAATAATACAAGTTGTTATCGTATTTGAAATACTTCAGGTGATTTTCAAAGAATGGGACCAGAAATTAGCTACAATGTTAGCAATGATGTCGGCTATGTCCAAAAGATGTTAATGAAAGAATGACACGTGAAGCAATTTTTACCCAATAAAGAAATAGTAGAACCAAAAATGCTGGATAATTAAAAAGAAGTGTGGACTACGAAAGAGAGTTAAAATGGGAATACAAATGACAAGCCAAGAGAATGACCTGGGTAAGACTTTCTACTGGAGATACAAAAAAAATTAGTTAAAGTTTTGAAAATTAAAAAGGAAATACAAATAATATACCAGGAGAATGATCTGGATGACTTTTTACTGGTTTTACGAAAGAGATTTGCCAAAGCCTCAAAGCCATCTTTAGGATGGGAAAAAATAAAACTTAAGGTCAGACCAAATCCTCCATCAACATCTGAATGAATTAAAGAGCAGGATTGTCAAAAGTAAAAGGAAGGAATATACAGTTGGTTTGTTTAACCAGAATTAAAATAAAACTGGTTTCTATAAAGCTCTGGTAACCGTTTATGGACTAAAAAGTTCACAATTTGCATATGGTAAGAGATGGCTTATAGGAAGAAGAGATATTTTCTTGTAACCCTATAGGGATTGAAGAGTTATCAAATTTATACAGGTAACCTCAACTTATAACAGTTCATTTAGTGACTGTTCAAATTTACAACGGCATTGAAAAAAACAACTTATGACCATTTTTCACTCTTACCATAGTAGCATTCCCATGGCCATGTGATCAAAATTCAGACACTTGGCAACTGATACATATTTATGATGTCTGCAGTGTCCTGGGGTCATGTGATCACCTTTTGCAACCTTTTGACAAGCAAAGTCAATGGGGAAGCCAGCTTAACTTAACAACTGTTCTACTAAAGTTAACAAATACAGTGGTTCACTTAACAGCTGTGGCAATAAAGGTCCTAAAATGGGGCAAAGCACACTTAACAGCTGTCTCACTTAGCAACAGAAATTTGGGGCTCAATTTTGGTCGTAAGTCAAGGACTACCTGTACTTATTATGATTGGAAGATCTATCTATCTATCTCTCTATCTCTATCTATCTATCTATCTATCTATCTATCTATCTATCTATCTATCTATCTCAGTCTTTCTTTCTTAGCACTTTACTTTGCATTTGCTTTTACTCTTGTAATTAAATCTTCAATGAACACTGTAAACAAAAAATGCTCCAGACATTTAAGGAGATGCTCAGGAGCAAACTTGGAATTAAGGAGAAACTTCATAAAAGTGAGGACACTTAACCAGTGGAACAGCTTGCCTCAAGAAATCACGGGTGCTCCATCACTGGATGTTTTTAAGAGAGCCTAGACAATCACTTGCCTAAATTGGTATAGGTAATCCTGCTTGAATAGGGGACTGGATTAGAAGACCTCCAAAGTCACTACCAGCTTATTCTGTTCTAAGTATTGAGCATGCATGAATTTTGAGGAAGAAGCACTTCTGCCAGCAGAAAAGACCCCACTGGATTTAATCCATGGTCCTCAGTCGTTGCTAGCTTGTTAACGTTCACAAAATCCCTACCTATTGGCAGCCCTATCAGAGGTAACTGAAATGGTCACACTTCAGTGAGTCAGGTTTATAATGGTCTCACAGCCAGTATAGACTTTTAAATATTGATTATGCTGTATATTCCAGTGGCTTATTGAAAAAAAAAACTGTGAATAGCAATAGCACTTAGACTTATAAACCACTTTATGGTGCTTTACAGGAAGTCATAGAATGGATCCCACTTGATAAAAAGTGCCCATGAAAGAGACCTAATACAAGATGGATTGACAATATCAGAAAGTATTGTGGGCCCAACTGGCAAAAGAAAACTCAGGACTCTATTGGTTGGAAATATATGGAAGGGACCTTCATTCTGTAGTGGAGAGACAATGGCTAAAATAAGGAAGAAGGAGAAAGAGAAGGAGACGGAGGAGACGGACGAGGAGACGGAGGAGGAGGAGGAGGAGGAGGAGGAGGAGGAGGAGGAGAAGGAGAAGGAGAAGGAGAAGGAGAAGAAGGAGAAGGAGAAGAAGAAGAAGAAGAAGAAGAAGAAGAAGAAGAAGAAGAAGAAGAAGAAGAAGAAGAAGAAGAAGAAGAAGAAGAAGAAGAAGAAGAAGAAGAAGAAGAACAACAACAACAACAACAACAACAACAACAACAACAACAACAAATTATGACTAGGCAACAGAAAAAGGTCTTAACAGCAAGAACTATTTAACAGGGACACCAAATGCCTTGGACAGTGATGGCTTCTCCTTCATCCGAGGCTTTTTAACCAAAGGCTGGATGGCCATGTCTTGAAGATATGGTAAAGCAATGCAGACCACTCCTGAACTGCTGATCTTGTAAGAAGCCACGGAGAGGAAACTCAACCAAGAAAACAAAATCACAAAACGGAGGACTCGCCTTCTTTCCTGGATGAGCTCTTCTGCTGAAACAATCTGCTTGTTGAGCTTCTTTACTCGCTTGTAGTGAGAAAAACACTCCTTGTGATCTTGGTCCAGTTTCAGACATTCCCGCACTTCACTTTGCACACAGGAAACAATAAGGGAGAGAGGAGAGAGAGAGAGAATTAGGTTATGGAAACAAGATTTTTTGTTGTCTTTTTTAGTGACCCTGTGTAACTCCTGCATCGGGGTGGAGTCGGGGCAACCGAATGGAGTGTTTACTGGCCGGATGACTTTCCTGTCGTCAATGCAGAGTTCGCAGCAGATATTTTCTCATTGTACCCAGAGAGAGAAATATCTGCCACTACCTAAACTCACAGCCTCTTGATTGTGAGGCGAGAGCTCCACTTCTAGGCTACTGCACCACTCATTGTGGAATCAAAATGCTCAGGATAAAACAACCAGAGTTCAGTCCTTGCTCCTAGTCCATTTGCAAAAGAGTCATTCCCCTCGGTTTACTTTCTCTGCTGAAAAATAGGTATATTAATTGCCCCTCCATCAGAGGTATGGAGAAATGCAACAAAATGTAAAGCCCTTCGGATGCTGTGGCTGATTACATTTTTTATATTAAATTATTAGTCATAGGGACTGGGAGTTGCATTCCCCTGCTTGAAGACATCTGAGAAAAACTTCACCCACTCAAGAAATATGTTCATCCACTCTAGAATGTTTATTAAAGGAATTTCAGAATATACAGCCCGGAGAAGCTGCAAAGTGAGGGCATTTATACAGAAGAATTAGTAATGTTCTCAATTGTTTAATATAAGTAAGAAAATGCCATTTGTTTATATAGTACATTGCCTGGAATCAATCACAGACCTAAAATTATGGGCCCTTTTCATAGAGCTTAATTGTTACATGTCCAATATTACTGCTGTCACCTCCTGCACGCAGATTAGAGAGAGGGAGGGAGGGAGGGAGGAAGGGAGAGAATTTTCCTTTAGTATTAGCAGAAAAGAAACACAAAATCAACTGACATTATTAAAAAGTTAGCAATAATCTCAAATTATTCAACCGTTCGGAGACTTATTACTTGCAGCAATCAAAACAATAGAATTTAATGACATTTATAATTTTATATCTAAGTATATATGACTTTATGATTCATTATTATTTGAAGCACAGTCATTAAACTTTGTGGGTGGGCTATTGGAAAAAAATAGAACATGTTTTGTTTGTATCTAGCTTTCCTTGGGTGAAGAATCAGAGAGTTATCACTTTGGGCAGATGACATTCATTATATTAGTAGCAATGAATTTATTTATTGATTAATTCATAACGTTGTATGGTCTTTGCTTAGTTTTTTTTCCCCTCTTGAAAACTGTTTAGTAAAAAGGGAAAAGAATATAAGTTTCCCTGAGAAAGGAATCCTCTGAAATGCAGAGGGGGTGGGGGTGGAAGCAGATTCTGATCGAACACACCAACTTTTTTTTAATAGTGCATCTTAGCTATACTACTGTAATATAGTATAGTCCTGTGGTGGCGAACCTATGGCACGCGTGCCAGAAGTGGCACAAAGAGCCATTACTGCCAGCATGTGAGCTCTCACCCAGAAAAGGTGTATTGGGCATGCGCACACACTGTTCACTCGACAGCTGATTGTTGGGTATCTGGGGTGCATGTACGGGGGCGCGGAGAACACTCGCGCATGCACAGCACACGGCATGTGGGGGGGTGACGCACGCATGCACAGCTCTCAGCGTGGGTTGTGCAGGTCTCACACTCATGCGCAGAAGTGCAGGCCGCATGAGTCGTGTGTGCATGCGCAGGAGACATGTGTCCCCCCCGTGCGCATCGCCTTCTAGGTGATGGCACGCGAGTATGAGCAGGTAAGGGCGGGCGCAATGATCGGCACGGGAGCCCAAAAAGGTTAGCCACCACTGGTATAGTCCCTCTTAAAACCTGGCATAAGGTAGTGGTATGGAGGTACGCTGAATGCAATTCTTTCTCTTCCAGGTCACTGTGGAATTTTTCTCTCCCATGGGGAAAAAGAGAGGGATTTGGAGGCCTGGGAAACTCCACCTCCATCTTTCTCCCTCCTTCCAATAACCTCTCTTTCATCTTGGCAAGGCATCTTTCCATTCAGTGCAGGTTTTCTAAAATTCTAAAGGTATTTTGCTTCTCGAACCCAGAGCATTTACCTTAGGGACATTTCGTGATCCCCTAATTCATAGTATATTGTGCTGATTTTATAGAAAGCTTCAGTGTTATCGCTCTTCAATTTGGCAGCAGCCTTCAAGTCACTGATCGCCTTCCCCGGCTCCCCTTCTTTAATGTAGCTTTCAGCTCGAAGTTCCCGCATATCCGCATCCCAAACACAAACCTTGAGAAACCAGAAACAAAAGGAGATTTTAATCCTATCTGCCCTTGTTCAAAAGGACCCTCTGACCTAAAATGAAGCAATAAGCCACACAATGCCATAAACGCTTTAAGAATTGGATCACCATCACTACACAATTGGAGCAAAACATTCAACCCAATTTTTGGATTCCTCTGGAGCGAATCTCCTTTTAACTGAAATTTGATGTTATCAGGTTAATCTAACCAACACAATTTTTGGAAATTGTGTGGTTAAATTAATCTGATAAGATAACATCTCTGTCAAAAGGAGATTACTCTGGATTTCATGAATAAATTTGTAAATTGTTGTGGTAACAGTAAATAAATTGTTTGCCACTGCCCTCTTCCAGGATGGTTTTTCAACTTTCCAGTCCAGGCTACAGCTCCAAGATACCCTAAGATTTCTCTCATCTAATAAGGCACACATCAACTCCAACTGTACAGCACTTAGCATTGAAAATCAGGCAAGGTGAGCTATGTGCTACCACTCCACTGAAACATTGCCCAATGGGGGGAAAATCTTCCAATTTACAAGCATCTGGTGAAAAAAAAATTACCTACCTGAACGTTGCTGTGACTACAAAGTAACTTTTGATTCAAAATTTAAAATTCAAAAGCAGTAAGCATGCTTACATCTTGGCATCACTTTCCAGTTTGGGACTTACTTCTAGAATTTTATCCAAGAGCGTGATAGCAGTGTAGTAATCTTTTTCGAGAAAGGCAGACTGTGCTTGGGAACGCAGCTGCCGAGCCTCATCTGACTTCAACAACTGAGCACGGGCTTCTCCTTCTTCTTTATCACTGGGTTTAGACAGGAGCTACAAGGAGTAAGCACACACGCACAGCCCCAATTACAAGTTGAAATTCAAATTCAAACACCCTGTGTTTGACACCCATCGACAAACCCACAACAACAAAACAGAGCCAGGCCTTTGAATTCTTTAGCACAGAAAAATCATAGCCTAGAAAATAATTTTAGATTGCCTTAGAAATCCAGAACAGAAATGCAGGCAGTTCCCCAGTCACTTCAAAAGAAAATGGCTACTTGTGTCTAAACAGAACAGAAGAGAGAGCCTGTGGCTCTAAACTGAGTTCTCCCTCTGAAAATGTTGCATCTTGTTACTGCCAGACTGTTCTTTTCAGTTCCTTCTTCCCCAAACTTCAGACAATTCACAACGAATCTATATTGTACATTTTCTTCCTGAGACAAATAACAACAAGTAATTTCAGTGAAACAGGTGTATTCTTCAAAATGAGTCTACTGAAAACTACAACCTGGGGACCTTTCCCCTGGCTTCCCTCTTTTCCAAGTTCTTTCTGTACAACATATGTCCCACACTCAACCCATTCTCACCTAAGGCAAGGACGCTGGACTGAGTTGGCTGCCAAAGGAGGGGGTGGGGAAAGGGGAAGAGAAGATAAACATTAAAGCAGGAGTCCCCAAACTTGGAAACTTTTAAGACTTGTGGACTTCAAGTCCCAGAATTCTCCGGTTGAAGTCTACAAGTCTTAAAGGGCCAAGTTTGGAGACCTCTGCATTAGAGGGTGAAACTTCCACTACAGGGTTGCAGAAGGACCAAAGGGGTGAAGAGGGCTGGATTCTAAAGCAGAGAGGTGCAGGTGGACCTCCCCTTGAAGTGTCAGAGGCAGCCTCTCAAGCCCACCAAAAGTAAAAAACAAAACCATTTTATTTTTTTCCAATAAAGGTGGAAAAGGCTAAATACTGTACATTACCCATTAAGTATAAATTCTATTTCATGAACTGAAGTGAGTTTAGTTAAGAATAAGTTAAAATTAAACCCAAAGAGAATTTCCTTTTAGTTCTTTGCCCTGGCCCTCTACAATGCCCATAATATCTGTAGCAAGACATGTGTGACTCCAATTTCTTCATCACTCAGGCCTGGCTTTAGCAATCTGGATGATGGAAAGTATTCCACTGCGGAATGGGACACAGCCGACAGCCAACTTGCCACAGCCAACTCACTGTAGGACAACTCACCATGGGACAACTTGCTGCAGGACAATTTAGCAATTCTATTTCATTATTTATTTAAAATAAATAAAAAAATATTTTAACTTTTGCAATTCACATTTCATTCTGTCCCTCCTTTTCCATCCTTCCTTTAATGATTCGATTCCACTATTTCTTTGATATTAGTGTAACTCTTGTCGAGTTGTCCTGCAGCAAGTTGGCTGGTGTTTTGTCCCACAGTAAATTGGCCATGGCAAGTTGGCTGTGGTGAGTTGACTGTGGCAAATTGTCATAGACCCTTCCACTGTTGGCCATTTCCTGACAATGGAAAACACTGTATGATTGCTAGAAGCAGATTGAATCTTTTTCCAGAACAGTGGAAATAAATGAAAAAGCAAAAAATCTTACTGGCAGAGGAAAAGAGAACATTTTATTAACACCTTAAGTTAACAAAACACAAGAGCAAGTTGTCACATCAAGTGCTCCATAAGCAGAAAACCCTAAACATTTCCAGACTGAGAACAGTTTAACTAAGTGGTTTGTGCTAACACTGGTCACTTAAAACATTCAGGGTGGCAAAGAAAGAATAAACCATGCCATTCAATTAAGCCCATTGCCTCGGGACAAGGGGGCAAGCGATTGAAGTGCCCACCTACCAAGCATCTCACATAAGCAGATGTTGACATTTGATGGTGTTAGAGGTGTCATCACAAGTTGTAAGCTGCCCAAAGTAAAGCTGCCTTTTGCAATTGACTGATGTTTTCGTCAGCACTGATAGTGTTCAAGTGGTAATTTTTTCAGTTATGATTATTTTATGTATAATATAAATTATATAAGATTTAATGTAATAAGTGTTTAAGTGATAAAATATAAAAATAATTATGGTACATTTTTACACTAGGGAAGATGCAGTTTTAATCAAGCTAGCCCTCAAGGACAGGCTGTGCTGGCCTCTAGTGGAAGAAAGCAAAAGAGATTGAAGTTGTTTTCCAACTGTAGCTGTAGGAATAATTCTCAATGGGAGCACCTGTTCTCCAGGTGATGAGATACAATGGGAAAAAGCAAGTAGACACTCTTCTATTAGTCAGCTAACAATTACTTTGAAGCTGACCCTCCCATACCCACTTTTTTAAAAACCGACTCTGCATTGTTTTCCTGCCTAGTCCATAGCAGATCAATTGGCAATGGCCACATCCATTTGAATTATGACTTCAATGTACGAATACCACAATGCAGAAAACAACCCAGAAAACAAATAGAAAAATTCCCTCAGAAATATATTCAAAATAATTCTCTACTGATTATTTATTTTTTAAAATATTGCCCCCTGGGAAGCTCAAATAAACGGCGGGGTGCCCATTTTCAAGTCCCATTGTTTCTTACTTCTGGATGGTAATTTTATTTTTCTAAATAGTCTGATTGTACCTGAAATATACTGGGCTGCAATTTAGTAAGTTATTCTAGTTTTACATATCTTCTCACTATACTAACAAAAACCAAATAAGTTTCATAATATTGAACAAATATTAAATAGGCAATCAAAATAATCTATTCTTTTTTATTTCAAGGCAGAATGAGCAGTCTTTCACTTCCTAATATTTAATTTGAATTCTGAGCTCCAGTAAGTGCAGGGTCAGGAGAATAAGAAACAGTTTGACTGTTTCATATTGAGGAATGTTGAGTACATGCAAAATAATCATTATCAAAATTATGCGTGAAAATATTGGGAATGCAAAAGATATAAAGGAGAAGTAAAAACAAACAAAAAATCCTGATCTGAAGAAGATTCACGGCAAAGCAAACATCTCTTTGTCAACTGCATGGATAATAAATACTTCTTTTCTAAATGCAATACTATAAAGGTGTGCTGTATGGAAATAACACAATCTAGGCTGCTTTAATAGAGGGATAGAATCAAGATCCCATGAAGTGATAGTACCACTTTATAAGACCTTGGTAAGGCCACACTTGGAATACTGTATTCAGTTTTGGACACCACAATATAAAAAAAGATGTTGAGACTCTGGAAAGAGTGAAGAGAAGAGCAACAAAGATGATTCGGGGACTGGAGGTTAAAACATATGAAAAACAGTTGCAGGAATTGGGTATGTCTAGTCTAGAGAAAAGAAGGACTAGCGGGTGACATTATAGCATTGTTCCAATATTTGAGGAGCAGCCACAAGGAAGAGAGGGTCAATCTATTTTCCAAAGAACTAAAAAGCAAGGCAAGAAACTAAGGTAGAAGAGAAGCAACCTAGAACTAAGGAGAAATTTTTTAATGGTGGGGACAATTAATCAGTGGAATGGCTTGCCTTCAGGAATTTTGGGTGTTCCATCACTGGTGGATTTTAAGAAGCAACTGAGCAGCCATTTGTCGGAAATTGTATAAGGGTTTGCTGCTCAAGCATTGGGTTGGACTACGGTATAAGAGTTACAAAATCCATTCCAACTTTATTATTCTGTTATTTGAATCCATTTTGTCTCTGACATTAGTTTACCTTTTGTGAAAACAATTGTTGTATTTGGAACTCCAAAAAGTCACTCCCCTTCCACTTCTAATTTTGCTGGGGTGGAGGTGGGTCATGGGGATATAAGTGTGTGTTTTTTTTAGCTTTTCCTGCTTCCAGTCAGATATGAAATGTCCCAATGACACATCCACTGGCCATCACTGGCTTCATGCTTCCTAAGTATACTCTGGTGCAGAAAAGGACTCAGATTTAAGCCATTTCAAAAGGAAATTAAAGATGTAGGACAGTAGCACTGTTTACACGGTCCTAATTTCTCGCTGACTCTACCACTACTCAAATTCAAAACCAAACCATCACCCTAAAGCACAGATGTCAAACTTGTGGCGTCACGTGGCTGTAACGTGATGTTTCACAACGCTTTTCCCATTCGTGGTCATGGCCTACATGTGATGCCTCCGGCCCGCGAGCCACCAGTTTGACACCCCTGCCCTAGAGTATAAATACAGGGACATACAATGCTCAATGTTCTTTGATCACAGCTGCTACTTCAATTATGCCCTGAGAAAGCACTTCACTTACCACGCCTTCAAAATCTTCTACAGCTTCATCCAACTTTCCCTGCTTAAGCAGCAAATGGCCTCTTTGTAGTCGTGCCTAAAAAAAAAGAAAGGTAATATGGCAGGATATGTAGTGCTGTATATCACATTATAATGAGGAAAGGCTACTTAAGAATCTAAAAAGGATTTAAGAATCCCTCTGCACATACTTTCAGCAATTTGTAGCTATGCCAAAAACCTCATCCCGCAGTCTTCAAGGGTATTAATACTCCTCAAAGTAATCAGAGCAAATTCACATGCTGAATTAGTACTATGAAAATCCTGTCTCCCTAGCTAGAATTTCAGCCTATATTTAATCTCCCCAAGTTGAATGATAATTGAGGTTTCCTGTTAGATTACACCATTTGCTAAAAAAGAAAAGAGGCAGGCTCCCCTTTAAAAGGCAACAGAAAAATGAAGACCAAAAGCTATTACCATCCACCCCAAGGAATCTTTAGAAAGTACTGCTTACCGATGTGAAATCCTGCTTTAATTCAACTACCCTGCTTAAATCACGAATGGCAGCTTTTGATTTGCCCATGGCTAGATATACTGTGGCTCTTCTGTAATAAGCAAGGTAGTTATCGGCATCTCCTTCTGCAAGAAAAAAAAAAGTAGCAATCAGAACATAGCCTTAAGTCAGCCAAAGCTTTGGAGAGAACGGAGCAAGCAACAAGGAGGAATACAATTAATGTGTGTGTGTGAGAGAGAGAGACATTGCATATAACTCAAGGAAAGAATATTTCCAGCAATGTAGGCACTGTAATGAAATTTTAACAGCAGTATGCATAGAACATTTATCGAATCCCAGTCTGCTTTTAAAGGCTTTAAGGAAGTTGAGCACCAACGTGCTACAGCTTCTAATCTCTAACTACAGACTCACATGTGGTGGAAAATTATTTTACAATTCGGTTTTTAGATTCTACATCTTTCTCTTGTGGAAGACCAAATAATGTAATTGATCAGTAATGGAATGTCCTTTTCGCATCCCTGCTAATAAGACTTTAACATGTACCTGGCAGAAACATACCAGCTTTTTCATTTAATTGCTGTTTGAGAAGTTAGAATATTTTGGACCTGTGAACCAAGTATAAAAACATTCATTCAGCAATTAGAATTCTCACCAAGAATAAGTTTCTCAATCTCTTACTTTTAATCTCATACGTATTATCTAGGCCAGAGGGAGAAAAAAACCATATATTTAGAAGGGAAGCTCAATAGGTCTTCAGATACATACCTATGGCAGCGTGGAAATGGGACAAAGCATCTGCCAGCTGCCCAGCTGCCAGCAGCTTTTTTCCCAATTCAAGCTGCTTTTCCACTTCTGCATTTATGCCACATTGTACTCCTGAAGGAAGAGAAAATAAAATTAAGGATCCAGTTTTTTTCTTTTCTGCATTTCTCAAAAAATGGAAATCAAAAATAACCAATTTCTCTGATACCACCAACAGATGAAATCAAGCCTGCATAGCTAGAAAAGGTGGCAGGTCCAATGTCCTCAGCAGCTTCAGCAGCATCTCCACCTGCCACCACATCCCCAGCATTTCCAATAGATTGCCAAGTAACCTCCATCACCTTTACATGTGCCTACGGAGCCAGCAGCCTCCTTGTTGCCTATGTGGTGTTCAGGCTCACACATAGGGTTCCTAGGCATCTCCAATGCTTCCAGGGAGGCTGATGAATACCAGCCTCTCCAACCACTTCATCAATTAATATTTCAATATACATAAAAAATAAAGCCCATCAATAAAGGTTGCATTACTGTAACAATAATGATCTCTTATATTGTTGCTGCTTAAATTAATTATAATCAATCAATCAAATGGAAGGGATGATTTGCATATATCAATAAAGAAGACCTGTGATTTTTACTCCTCTTTAGTATAGCAATACCCATTGGGACTACTATGTTGGTCAATAAATCAATTTACGCTTCAACCATATACTGCACGTGCCTGGACTCCAATATGCATGCACATATACACAACCCCTCTGGATTCCATATATGGGCATCACACACTTGTCAATGACATAAGTGAATTATTCTTCATAAAACACCACAATCAATGTTTCAACTTTAGTCCCTACATAAAGTTTAACAATATAATTTCTTAGGTTCAACTGCAAGTCATTTTAAAGGCGCTACACATTTTTCTAAAGCTTTCCTTTTTCTCTAGGATAGTGACTAGCAAGTGGGTTCAGAGAGATGATTGGGTTCAGATGATTAATTCATCACTACAGATGAGATAGTTCCAGCCTTTTAAGAAGGCCCTGGTTCACCCCCTCCTTAAAAACCATCACTTGATCCCACCTGCTTGGATAATTTTTGTCCTGTTTCCAATCTTCCAATTTTGGGGAAGGTTGTGGAACAGGTGGTGGCCTGGCAACTTCAGAGGGTCTTAGATGAAACTTATTATCTGGACTCCTTTCAGTCAGGATTCAGCCCTGATTATGTGCATTGGTTGTACTTGTTGAGATCATCCGTCACCTTGAGTGAGATCATCCATCATCCTCGGCTGAGGTATTTGCAGTATGCCAATGATACCCAACTCTATATTTCCACCTCCAGTGATCCAAGTGATACCATTGCTGCCTTTCCATGGTGCCTGGAGGCGGTGGGGGCCTGGATCAAGCTTTGATTGAACCTAGGCAAGACCAAATGGCTTTGGGTACATGGAGCCCCAAGATCTGGAAATTTGACATATCTAGTTCTGGATGGGGTGGGACTGGTCCAGATGGATCAGGTCTGCAACTTGGGTTCTCCTGGACTCATGACCCCTTCTCAAAGAGCAGGTGGAAGTTACAACTAGGAGAGCTTCTGCACAACTACGAGTTGTGCACCAGTTGCAGCCTGTTCTGGATCAGGAGTCCCTGCGCTCTGTCATTCGCTAATCTGTGAGCTGCACTGGCTGCTGGTTTGCTTCCTGATGCAATTCCAGCTATTAATTACTTTTAAAGACTTTCATGACGTAGGTCCAGGCTACTTGAGGGACCGTCTCAACCCATTGGGATTGGCCCATCCCACCTGTGCCAGTATGCTTGCAGACCCATCAATCAGGGTGTTTTGGCTGGTGGGGTCCAGGAGAAGAGACTCTCTGCCATTGTGCCTGGCCTTTGGAACATTTTACCCTCCCTCCAGAGTGAGGTCAGCTTCTGTCCCCCTTACCTTCTATAAGGACAAAAGACTGGCTCTGCCAGTTGAGTTAAGGCTCCAATGGAAGGGTTTCACATTGGCGGTAGTTCATAGATTAATAACAGATATTAAACCCCCCCCCCTTTTTTTATCATACTCCCTCCCTCCTCATCTTTTTAGCTAGGTTGATTTTTTATAGTATTGTATTTGAATTATTATACTTTATAGTTTTATCTTTTAATATTGTAAGATGCTCAGAGTTAGTGTGCGATAAAATGGGTCGCTAATAAATTTTACAAATAAATAAATGACTCTATCCGGCAGGGATGCTGTCTATCCCACAATTTTCTAGTTTACCAAGAAACAAGTTGTGATCTACTGTGTCAAATGCCTTATTGAATTCCATGTGTACTGTGTCCACAGCGTTTTTTGCTGGCCCATTAAATGGTTGATTTAATAATTTCGGAAACTGGGGCAGATGTCAGCCAAACAGACAATGGGCATTTACCAGTTCATGGGCTAAATTCCTAAACACGATTCATATGAAGTAAAAGCCATTGATTAAATGAGCACAGCTTGCATATAAGCTACAGCATTTTAATTTTAGAGTCATGGTCCCAGGACTATGCCTGCTAATGTCAACTTTCTAAGAACCACCTACAGTTCCATGAGAACAGACTTATCATTAGAATATGTTGAGCTTTTCCTGTAGGGACAGCACCTCCTTTGGGGATAGATATTCCTCCCCTTTTCATGAACCTTTTCAGCATCATTAATTTGATCCTGCCCGTCAAAAGCAGAACTGTTTAATATATACCAATATACCAATATATATTAATATATTAATATACCAATATATTAATATACCAATGTTTTTTTTCACAGCTTGGGAATGTGTGGGCTTCAACTCCCAGAATTTCCCAGCCAGCAAATACCTAGTATTTAATTTTAATACTTAAATATTATTTTTTAAATGAAACATTTAATCTCTCATTTAGATATTTACCTAGTAATATCTGGCTGGGGAATGAAGTGCACATACCTTCAAGGTTGAGAAACACTCGTGAGTTCTCCCTTTCTTTCCACTATAGCCCCCTCTTCAAGGAAGGCTGTAACTTCCTCTTCCACCTTTGCAAGGATCCCAAGTGAAACCATGTTTTTAGCTCTATTAATCTCAAACTTGGCAACTTGGAAGACTTGTGGACTTCAACTCCCAGAATTCCTGGAGAATTCTGGGAG